AGCATAAAAATTACAATAATATAATAATAATTCAATCCCATTCTCAGCAGTGGGCCACGGGCCGACCAATGTGAGTGGAAATCAAATATTCATCTGCTCTGAGCTAATACGATTGGTTCTATCAGATATGCAAGTTTCTTCACAATGTTTTCCTTAATCGTAAGGCAAATGGTATGGTGTGGTCGTGTAATGAAAATTATTCGCATATAGGCTACCACTTAAGTATAAAAAAACAGACAGAAGTGAAAACTTAAAACTATAAACAAACAGTTGTTATTTTTGGATATTCAAATTAATTGTTTGATCTTAAATTAAAATTTGTAAATTAAAACTGCTTACATTTATCGGTTTTGACATCTATCGGCGCTCTGAGTGTTAGCTTTAAGACGTCACGTGACCATGTCCATGACGACTTATGTGAATTTACTCCCCATCCAAACCTGCCTATAGAAATTTTCACTAAAAAACATAAAAATATTTAATACTAATTAATAAATAGCCTAAATTATTCTTAATTAAATTCCTACCTTCTTTCCACAAATATTCCGAAAATTTTCAGTTTTAATTCTCATAATTACTTAATTTTATATAGCGAGTAAATTCAACACCATTTAAAAAAAAATCGGATACAAATACCCAGACAGATAAGTTTTTTTAATATTTGTTTTAGGTTTAATACCATAGAAATAAGTACATATTAGCTTAATATAAAGTAGCCATTTTAATATCACAAATGAACACTTTAATCACACTAATATTATAAATGCAAAAATTTGTATGTGTGTTGTATATTATGCATCTAGACCCAAGAGTATTACTAAGCTAAAGACTTACCCAAGAGTAAGTTTCTAGTTTCATACAAGTATAAATAATGAACTACTACGATATTATAGAATACTAGCATAGCCCGCGGCTCCGCCCGCGTTCAGATGACCAAAAACCAAATTCTTAGATTTTACATATTACTATACTCTTACTGTTATATATCTATATGTGTGGGTAAACCTTAAATAGGTACTTAATGGCTGCGCCCACAACGCAAAGCTTGTCGAGCAATAAACCAGTGCGTATCCAACTACCAAGCATTTCACTTGCCCCCGTCAGCATACATAACACTTACAATGCAGCTTTTATATTTTTTCTCAGAAATGAGATATTTTTCCGCAACAAAAAGTATCCTCTATGTTGACCCGGATAACCAGCTATCATTATACCAAATTTCTTCAAAATCCCTCCAGTGGATTTTTCATGATGCGGTAACAGACAGACAGACAGACAGACAGACAAAAATTCTAAAAACTATAGATTCGGCCTCTGCATTAATAATAATGTCTATTTCAATAAGATTTTCCAAAAAATATTTAATGTACAGATTCTGTTTAGTTATCTATACAATTTTATTATATGTATAGATAACAGATTGACGTGACTTAGCAGAAATTTCCCTCACTTTCATCCCGAAATATAAAGTGATTCCCGTGAAATATATGTATTTTTGTAAGTTTAATGCAGTTATGGAGAAACAGCGTATCACTTGTTAAAAAATTATCATGCAAAGTCTAAAGTTAACATTATAGTAAATTATAAATTAATAATATTTGCTAACCGAGGCTAGAGTCTAGACTCGATCCATTAAACCATTATCAGAGCTTAAAAATGTCAAGGTTACGTTAATTTACTCAAGATATTCCTAAATATATACACCCATTAAAAGAACTTGCATGCAACCGCGGCTCCGTTCATAAGCGGGCTGGGATAAAAGGTAAAGTTCTCAAATTTTATCCAAATCTGTTCAGCAGAAAGGTTTCAAACAGACGGTAATGCTACATTACTATATTAGAATAGACTTTATTTTTAGTATGGTTAATTTTTAATATTACAGAATCAAAAATGACCATAAAATGATAAAATATTTTGATATACTTATTATCAATAGGTATTTTAATCAATTCTATAATAGAAACGCCTTCGAAGATACAAGACGTTATCAATTGTGCTGTATGTTGTTAAATTTTGATTACAATCTCAATGTACATATTAAATAAATATGTTGGGACATTAACACACGGCACCATCTAGTTCCATGGTAAGCTACGAGGCTTGTGTTATGGATACCAGATAGTTTATACACTACACATATATATGTGACACATATAACTTTAAATTCATACATTTTATAAATATAAACACCTATGACTGGAGTACAAAAATTCGTGCTCATCACACAAATGAATGCCCCCAGCGGGACTGGAACCTGCGACCGCTGACACAGCAAGTAGGGTCACTACAAACTGAGTCACACGCGTCGTCTGATTATAATTTTTTTTTTTAATAATCAATTTAATATCAAATATCAAATATTTTAACCATTAAGTATTAACTTTGTGGCTTTGATTACAACGTATGTTCTTCTAAAACTTCGGAGTTGTGTTGAAAGAATGATTGACATTTTGTCAAGAGATATATGTATCAACCTAGAGCTAGGATCGTAGTACTATTAGATCTCTTCTTACCTATGTGGGTTTGACCATGAAATCGTAAGTCTTCAAGAGCGCCACCATATTATATGGTCTGAATAACTATGCAAATTGCTGGTTTCATGAAACTAAATATTATTTATCCTTTAAATTAGTTTAGCTTATGGAAATATTTAACATATATAAAGACAATGTAAATCAAACTTGATCTATTTCAACCTTTTCTGCCACGCTGCTATTTAATCTACTACTTTTGTACTTAGAAAAAAAAATCTAAATCCTGTTAGAATTCATAGTGAGTGAAAGTATAAAACCTATTCATGATATATTCTGACTTTCCACTACATGATTACAGAATGGTCGCGTCAAAACTGCAATGTTTTGTTATTTTATTAGCGTTTGTTAGTGTCGAGTTACGTCCACGTTTACATTACGTATATTGTGTAGAATCTAAGTGAGATAAGCAAGCAGAATCACTTAAGTTAGATTGTTTTTTCATATATAATTCTTATAATTAGATTAAGAACGTGATACATTTGGTGAGATAATTGAACACTAGAGAATTACTCTCACTTCGCTCAGATGCTTGAGAGTAGCCTTTGTTGTACATTACTGCAAGTTATAGTCTATCTGTGCACGGAATTTCATCCAAATCGGTCGAATTACTTTAATGTATAGGAGTAACAAATACAGATAGACACACACACAAACTGTTACAGTTTATTAATACTCTGATTATAATATATAAAATATTTTTTGCATATTATTGTTATTGGAAAACAAACATAAAAGAATTTCATTTCATAAAATATTAGTACTTATTGAATCTACTACTTTAAAGCGGAAATGCCTTTAGACCAAAGAACTGGAATTATGCGGTACTATTAAAATGTGTCAAAGCTATAATAAATGTAACAAGGTGGTAATCGCTATAAAGGACGAGTGACGAATAAACAAATATGTAACTGTTATTTTGATATATATATACTAATATTATAAAGAAGTAAAGTTTGTGAGTTTGTGAGATTGTGACGTTGTAGGAGGTAATCTCTGGATCTACGGAACCGATTTAGATGAAATTCGATAAAAAGATAGTTTGAGCCCCTGGAAAGGTTATAGGATACTTTTTATCCCGGAAATCATCCCTTAAGGGGGTGCAAATGGGGATGAAAGTTTGTATGGAGAATCAACCTAGGGACGAACCCGAGCGAAGAGAGGGTGAGTCGCTAGTGTAATATACAAACATTAACACTGACGTGCCGCAGTTTTTGATCCGGAAATGTTAAATAATAAGGCTTATTAAAGCCTTTTATTATTATAAATGAGGAAGTTAGTTTTTTATTTGTTATCTTTTGATACCTTAACGCCTAACTAATCGTGACTGTTACACGAACGTAGCACATAGTAAGAAGTAACTTAGGCTACTTTTATTTTTAAATAAGAGCCATGGTTTGGATTCTTTTTGCTACGCTGTTGCTATTTAATCTCTTTCTTTGTATTTTAAATAAAACTACCTTTTCGGATTTTTTCGCGGATTTATTTTAATTTTTGGTTCCTGACGTTTCGAATGCTTTACAGCGATCATGGTCACGGGAGAGACTGAGGTGTTAGATGTCTCAAAGGCATAATATTGTTGTTACAGAAAGCTCACCCACAAATAACAAAATGAATTCAAAAAATTTAAAAACTGCACCAAAGTACCTTACATTTTTTTTAATTTTAAACATTTTTATAATTTTAAAAGTATTACTCTTTCTTTGTATTTAAAAAAAATCTAAATCCAGTTCCTAAATTCAAGTCAATGAAAGTATAAAACGTATTCGTGATATATTCTGACTGTACCTGCGCAAGACGGACTAATTTTCAAATATCATTAAGAGTCGCTACCAAGAGCCTTACAAAACGATACCGTAACTAACATAACAGCAAATTAGCGTACACATACATCATAGCTATTTATTTCAGTGCACAAAAACTGATAAAAACACTTTAAAGCGTTCTTAAGTAAATGTTAATTGAACTGTACACATTTACACTTAAATCGCAGAAAGGAGTATAATAATTAAAGATCAACAAGCTAAAAGTTATTAAGTATAAAAAAAATTAAAAAAAAATAGTTTTTAATTCTTAGTCATTTTTTTTTAATAAACTTAATTTTATTAAATTTTTATTTTACTTTATTTTTTTATTAAGTATAAACACATTTTTCTACCAATGTCCAGCACTATATTTAATATCTTGATTGAATCTATTAAAAAGGTATAATATGACATTTCCCTTTTATGAAATAGGACAAATCATAAAAATTTTAGCCAAAAAGTTTAAAAAATCATAATGTATATACTAAACAAAAGTGATAAGTAATGAAATTAATGCTTAATCGTTTTTTTTTTCTAGCGGCTACTCTAAAATATGTCCAGAGAGGGGTCTACAAAAAAGTGTGTGACAGAAGTGTGTCAGTGCCAGTGAGAAAACATGTGTTCAAAATGATAAAAATGAAACAAATAATTAGGATGTGAAGCCATGTTGGAATGCGTGCGTCGCGCGAGCCCACTGGTACGCGCGTCGACGAAAACTGGACGAAATTACTTGATAACGACAAGATTCGTGTTTTTGCTTGTGCCTTTTATTATACTTCTGTCCGTAAGGTGAGTTTTTGTTTCATTATTTTGTTTAAACTAGTCCACGGCCGTGGTTTTGTTCTTTTAATAAAATTTTAAAATTTTTTGTAAGCAAAAATATTATAATGAAATAGAAATTAAAGTGTAAATATGATTTTTTAAATAAAACTTTGATTTTTGGTTTGATTTTTAGATCAGTAATATAGTAAAAATACATTTTTATTTGAATAGAACATGCCAAAAATACTATAATATCTATAATTTAAAACACAAAATTACATACATACTGTATTATACTGTATGAATGTGTAATTAACACGTATTGATTAAAACACGCAACGTAACGTAACAGACATGAGAATAGGAAACTAAAAACTAATTTAGTTATATATTTACTGTATAAGATAATACCATGTCTAACTATATGCAAAAAATCGACCGTCCGCTCTACCTGCATCAATTTTCAAATATCATTATTGCTACCAAGAGCCTTACAAAACGATACCGTAACTAACATGACACCAAATTAGCGTACACATTCATCATGCTTTTTATTTCGGTGCACAAAATATGATAAAAAAAATACTTTAAAACATTCTTAAGTAAATGTATATTGAACTGTAAGTCAGTGTGTCGTCTAACTGCCATCGCTAGGTTGGAGATCGAATGTTCCATTCCCGATTCTTCTCTATTCCCGATCTCTGATATAGGCATGAAAAATAAAGGCAAATTAAGTAAATAAACGTGTTATTTAGGCTATTTGGAAGCTCTTAGCAATTAAAAGCTAGCTTTTATAAAATCGATTTACTATAGATACTTGTACGAGTAACTTATTGCATTTTACTCTAAAATGTACCTTAAACCTACGCATTTGATACTCCTATTACAGTAATGCGAAGACTTGTCCTTATCTGGTTAAAAAAATGTGTTATGAGCTATTATATATAACAATATATTCAAGTAAGGACATATATTTAGTATCCAGGTTATATTTTAAACATTCTTTAGTTTATAACAAAATAACTAAAACAAAATGGATCATATTACTCAAAAGATCCTTAGACAAATTGATCGTTTAAATCTTTTATATGAATAAGATGATTATACTGTACTCTATAATTAAGTTCAATAAATCGCGAATATAAGAAACCGGATAAACCAATTTTGAATACCAAAAAACAAACAAAGACCATTTTTTATATAAAATAAAGAGCTTTAAAAACTTTTAAATTTACTGGGCGCATGTTTGAGAGATCCAGTTAAAATTTTATTTGTTCGAATTAGGGTTTAATCTATTTTAATAGAAGGTTTGCTTTTGATCAAATAATTATTTTATTTATTAAATTTTAAAACATAAAACTAACATAAGTATAACTGACAAAGTACATATATGTATTCAGTCCTTTTCAACGTCCCACAGTATATACCAATGTACTCTGTGGTCCCACTGCTGGGCACAAGCCTCCATTCAGTACGAGGGGGATCAGGCTATATTCCGTCACGCTGGCCAAGTGATTTTGCTGTTATAAGTTATTGATATTGTTGAAGCACTCGCATGACGTATAAATAGTTATAAATTCAATTGTGAAACCGGAACGTCTGTCACCTAAAATACAGGCTCTGGCTTAGTTTAGGAGATAGTAGTTCAACTTATTTTTTGACCGTTTTTGTGCAACTTGCTTTACTTACTTTAACCCCTTATATTGTAACTTTATATAGTACAATAAATAAAATTATTATTGTTATTATAGTGCTGGTTAGCGGGCAGTAGTGTATGTGTCGTAATATAATATAAATAATGATTAAATAACAATATAATAGTATATTAAAAGTAAATAGCAAAAAATCTATTATAGATGTAAGAACATAAATATATCCTCTCATAATCTTATCCAAGAGTCTTGAAATTTTCAAGTAGACCAATTATCATTTTTAAGCAAACGCTAAGCTTGTTCCAAACTTCATTCTTGCACGAACCGAGGCTTTTTACGTTACTTATCTGTCATCTTCCGTATTTATTTCGTCTTTGTGTTCTGGAATTGAAAATTGCAGCGCTCGAGCTATCGACCTATTTACGAGTATTTGGCCTTGTTGATGGGGCATGACGTCATCATTCTTGATTTCTTTCAAAATTAACTATATTTAATACTAGCATTGCCCGCGACCGCCCGCGTTCAGAGGACCAAAAACCAAATTCTTAGATTTTACATATTAGAATACTCTTAAATTGCAGTTTTTGTATTTTTTCTCAGAAATGAGATATTTTCCCGCGGTAAAAAGTATCCTATATGTTGACCCGGATAACCAGCTACCACTATACCAAATTTCATCAAGATCCCTCCAGTGGTTTTTCTGTGATGCGGTAACAGACAGACAGACAAAAATTCTAAAAACTAGATTCGGCCTCTGTATCGATAATAATGTTTATTTCAATAAGATTTTCCAAGAAATATCTAATGTACAGATTCGGCTTAGTTACAATTTTATTATATGTATAGATTTTATTAAATGAACTGCGGGCAAAAATTAGTATTCATATAAGAAAACATTAAATATCAAAAAAGACTTAAATCATAGGAAAAAATTCTATAAACGGCTTCTTTGTTCAAATTACATCTTATTTTTCTTAGAACTTAGGAGGATATTACAAAAAATGCTGCGGTTAGATTTTTTAAGTATAAGTGTTTCATAGAACGTTTTACAAGGGAATTAACTTATTTTTGCATTAACGACTATATAAAAAAATAATCCTTTAAAGTTGACGTTGAGGTATTTCGCTTTAAATACAATCAACTGCTAGTTGATTTTACCCACCGAGGGTTCCGTACACAAAATATCAGGATTTTGTATATTCTAAATACGAGTAATTACTGTTATACATTCTTATAATTAAAACTCTACAAATTAATTCGAATCTCATTTAACTTGTTTTTAATATTTGTTATTCCATACATGGAGTGTGTATTAATAAACATATCGGTTAAAAATTATTTTATGAAATTGCACTTAATGTTTTTCTTTATTATTTTTTTTATAATTTGCTAAGAAATCGACTCTCTCTACCTAATAGCTATTCTTATTTCCTACTAATATTATAAGCGCGAATAGATGTATGGTTGTTACTCTTTCACACAAAAACTACTGAACAGATTTTGATGAAATCTTACAGTAATATTGCTTATACATCAGGGTAACACATAGGTTATATATAATAAATATATAATATAATAAATATATAATAAATAGGTTAAAATACATATGTAATTGAAACACGCGGGCGGAGCTGGGGAAACTATATTTTGACAACATCTGTACATACATTTAATAAAAGTGTAACTGATCGCTGTCTGTACATGGAAGATATTTGAGAAAAACTATTGCTGGTACATGATCTTTAGAATTTTTGTCTGAATATTCGTACGCGCTAATCTCAGAAATGGCTTAACCGATTTGGGTGTGGTTTTCACTAATGTATTGTGGTAAGCATCTCATAACATTTAGTATTTGTTTTATTTCAATCATTTCATAAATAAAAAAGTTATGTCAATTTAAAAAATCACCTATGGACGAACCAGAGCGAAGCGAGGGTGAGTCGCTAATTAAATTCCTAGACCTTCGAATACAAAATTCCAAAAACACACAACAAAAATCTACCAGCGAATATCTTTATAATCGATAAGAATTAGGTATAAGAGGAAAACGCGTCTGTAATATTCATCTAAACAGGACAACCCTACATTTAAGCTAAAACTTGAAACCTATATATCAGAAACACCTTAGAGCGGCAAAACCATTTGACATTTTACGACGCATTAAAAATAAATTAAATGCGGTAAAATTTAATGAATACAATTTCTTCAGCATGAATCTTGTTAACACATAACGTAAAAGGCGAAAAGTCATAAAGTAAAAATTAACTTCGACCTTTCAATACGTCTGTCTTAAACGAAAAATTTTATTACTAACTGTTAGTGCATTTAAAGTACTAATAATGAATAGGTATTAAGATCAAAAGTAACAACTATTTCGAACTAACAAATTCCTAAGTTGCACGTTTAATTTAACTAACATGGAGTTTGATATGATTATCACTTTTTCTGAGAGTGTCTTCCATGACTAATTGTAGTACAGCATTTGAAACGTCGGGAACCAAAAATCACAATAAATCCACGAAGATGGTTTTATTTAAAATGTCAAATAAATCTAAGAAATTATTATGATTATTATCACTTACTAGCGACTCACCCTCGCTTCGCTCGGGTTCGTTCCTAGCTTGATTCCCAATGCAAACTTTCATCCCCATTTTTACTCCCTTAAGGGATGTTTAAAGTCCTGAAAACTTATATATTAGGCAAAAACAAGTAAAAGATATACATATATGTGTTATTTCATAAAACAAATCTTTCTGCTCTATACTAAACACTGAAAAATAGGTCATGTGTAAACGTGTAAACGGATACGAAAACAATAGAATTAATTCCACTAATATTAACCAATTATTATTCTAAGTGATAAATTTTATTACTAACGCCATTTATCTAACATTTTATTGTTCTTCAGAAACGTGAGAACTAAACTTGGAATGATAAATTATTGTAATATATGGATTATAATAATTGTGTTAAAATCATTATATATTATAATATCGCCCGAGGCTTTGACTAGCCAATTAAGGGACAGACTATAGGTCAAAAATGAGGACTAAATACTATATTGCACAGTGATATTATCTACATACACATATATTAAAACACTTGTTTTTGTAGTGATATTTTATGGACTGGACTGACTATTTAATGTATATGTAACATTACCGTGTTATTACTGTACAAGTCATGTCCGCGCGGAATTGTTGCAAGAATGCTAGCCGCACTACTCCCTGAATGGCAATGCTGATTCTTTAAGCGAAAACGAGCTCTCGTGTCAGTAAAAGCGATAAGACAAGGTTTTGTGTTTATGCTATTAATTAATATGTTATATGAATTACACATAATATAAAGTTTCAAATCGACTCGACAAACAATGTA